TCTTTGAAATTCTATAATCTCATTACATATCTTCTCAAGATATTCCTTTTTGGCCCTGTCTGTGGCTCTTTTCAGTTCATTCCTCAGTCTCCTGTATTTCCTCCTGCCTTCTTCATTGTTGACATTCTTCCATTTCCTTCGCTCCTCCATTTTACTTATCATCTCCTGTGTAACCCATGGTTTTCTTGCTATCTTCTCAACTTTACCAACCAAATCACTGATAGTATCTAACATGCATTCTTTTATATTGTTCCACTGCGCTTCAGCATTTCCGTTTTCACCTTCAATTGCACCGAGTTTCTCTTCTAGGGGCTCTTGCACGCTTTGTCTTTGAGCATATAACTTCTCCAAATCCCATCTGGGTCTGCGCCTTCGAAATCTTATAATTTTCTTCAACCTGGTTCGGAACTTGGCAACCAGCAAGTTGTGGTCAGAGTCAATATCTGCCCCAGGCATCGTCTTCACATCCTTCACACTGTTTCTGAATCGATGTTATATATATATATTGGTCTTCTGAATTATGGTACCATCTTCAGGTCTGATGATTGAATGCAATGTTTTCTTCTGAAAATGATGGTACTGCTTACCAGACCTTACGGTATCATAACGGATGTGAATAAGAATCTTTATCGCTGTGAGAATCTCAGATGCTCAACTTTATGTAAGATATTTTATATTTTATGTGTTATAATTTCATATTCATGATGACGTAATAAAGGTTCTCAAGCTTAACATCAGCTATGCGGGTTTTACTATACGTTACTTCGTTACTTCAAATATGCAACTTATCAGGGAGTGGTACGGGTAAAGCAGGTATTTAAGTCCTCCCGCTTATGCTTCACCTCAATATTTGATGTTGAAGATCCCATTACAAAGAGCTGCTTTCAAACATGGCGGCGGAGTACTTAATTTGGTGTCTGTGTTGTTCGATATTCCGGGCCCCTGCACGAACTCTCTGAATTCCGTGTCTCTGTGACTTTGAGCCCAGCAGTCTGTTCTCAACGTCTGAGAAGTCACTGTATCCGCGAAGATATAAATATCCAACCAATATTAAAAAAATTAGAATATGCTGCATGATGTAGCACATAAAATTAACAACGGAGGACTCTGAAGTTTATTGAGCTTACTTAAAAACAAGAATAATGAAATGTAAAGTGGCTGAAATTTCTGATATAGAATTTCAAGAAGATCTGTTCAAGCTGTTTGCGGAATACGTGGAATACTCAGTTCATAAACTTATTGCGAAAGTAGGGTTAATTTGGATAAATATGGCTGAGTGTAAAACTTGCCAGCCAACATTGGGAGGAAGCCAGTCATGCCGAATTTCGGCAGATATGTCCATACTCGTATATAGGAAAGTTAATGTATGGTCTCATATAAAACAGGTTCTGTTGTGGATCAGCCCCACTGAAAACTGAAATTGTCCGACATGTTGTAGTGGAAGTTTGTCTTATCGAATTTTAAGAACATTCGTTCGATGCAATTATTGTGGTTCTGATCATTATGTACCGTACCTGGTACCTATCTCCGGACACCTGCCCCGACACAAGATTGGACGTATAAATAATTCACAGCACAAACCATCCGTGAGAGTCAAGACCAATATTAAAAACGTTGAAAGAACTCCACACACATAAGGTCTACTCCTACGTTCATGCACTGTTTCACGGTTATTGTTGTTGAAATTAAAGTAATGTCAAAACGAAAGTCATCACTAAAGAGACAAATTCTCTATATGGTAGAAACCGAAAATGATAATTTTCACACATCGTCTACACTTGACGGAGTTGTAGGTGTTCGACTTCTGCTACAATAAATGGAGATCAGATGGGAGAGATGTTCACACTGGGTTGTGATCGGATGGTCTATCAGAGACATGTGTACATGATGACATCCGTAAAATGAAAGTGACAGGATGGGGAGGAAATATGAAGAACAGAGAAGAACGGAGGCAGATTGTTCAGGAGGCCAAGCTCACTCTGAACTGTAGCGCCGAGGGAAGGAAGGAAGGAAGTAATCAGAGTCATGTGGGCTGATTCCTTGCATTTCCTGTATATGTTGTTCGGTTCAATCTGTAAGAACTTCGATTCTCTCGAACATATTTTGTGGCCTTCCTCGTATGCATGTTAGACTAATGTTGTTGAAGCAGACCCTGTTTCAGGTTATGTTCGTGATTCTTAATTCGTAATTCTAAACGTCTGCTTGTTTCGTCGATGTAACATCTGCCACAATCACGTGGGACGTTCAGAAACACAATAAATTTATTGAAATACAATCGTCACCAATCCTTATATCGTGGCTGTTCCGTCGTTTGGGTAACTTTCTGTATCAGCTACAAGTAGACAGACGGACATGCATGACCTGTACGAGGAGTTCTTTTACTTTATAAAGGACGCAAACAAGGAATTGGGTACTGGAAGTGTAGACATGAACTCGTGACGGTAATCTTTAACATTGTTATAACGACACATCTTTAATTCTGTAGCAATGTAACGTTACACTGTACCGCAGACAGAGATACAGACAATTGTTGAGTTACACAATATTGCAATACATATAGGTACATGCCTTTGTTCTGGAATCCGGCACACGAAGCCACCTCTGTAATGAGCACGGGGTTTGACTTCCTCGCCTGAAGCCGGCAGTTCTCTCCACAAATCTCCTAGTTCGAGAACCTGTAGAGCTTTACCTCCACACCCCTACGTCTTCATGGCGGTGCGTTTTATCACGGAATTCTGATACTGATATTAGTATGAAAATAACACTTTTGTTATCAGAATTGAATTCGAGAATTTTTCTCGTTATACAATTGGACATTTTATTTTCTTGTAATTGAATTTTTTGTAGAACAACACATATTATACATAAGAAACAACGAATATAAGAGCCAGTGTACACTTTACAGTTATTGGAAGTAAGTAATTCCTTCTGCATGACACATTCACTGAAAGAAAACAAATTCTGTCTTTAGGAGACCCACACGAGATGTCCCGGAAATTCGAGCTTGGTGTGTGTCAGTCACATTGTTAGTGTTTGCTTGGATCAATTTGATTATATTTCATTCAGCAATATCTGTACATCATTAATGACGATTTTATAATTTTTCCACATATTTGTTCCTTTGAAATATCCATTGATCGAGAATGTACATGAACTATTGACCATTTCAGATTTACGGTTCTAATGCGCACTAGAAATCGCAGTGTAAGTCGAACTGTCGTAATTCGAATATTGATTTCCCACAGACTTATACCTTGTGAACTGAGATACATCCCAGAACTTCGGACAAAATATTGTTACGTAGTACGGAGTGACTAAAGACGGTAATTTGTATAATTTAATTCATTAACCATTTACAGGTTGTAACCACAAATATCTATAAAATTATCGCTGATTTCCCATGCTTTGCAAATCACTACACGCTAAGTCTTCTCCAGCCTGCAGTGTTTTGAGTAGTTTCCTGGTAACGGCTTCTGACAATGGCTATTCCTCTGCTTCCGGACTCAAATCCTCTCTAAAAGGCAACCCTCATCCAATTAAATCATTCTTGCTCCAATTTTCCACTTTATAACCCCTTTGTGCTGACCGAGTAGAAAGCACCCTTTCAGACACTACCTCTGTTGTTGCATGCGTATCCGTTGCAGCGGGAACGTGTTTACCAGCCGTTTCCCAGAAACGTCTCAACATGTTACAATGTGTAAAAAGTCTTATTTCGGCAATAAATCAATACAATCAATAAATTAATATAACAAATTCTATAATAACCATCTTCAGGAAGTAATTCAATAAATTCCTATCTAAGGCTTTCATGGAAAAGATTTTCAATTAGCGGAATTCTTGACACGCTGTAAGATATTCTGACTTTGTCACCGTCTAGAGTTTCAAGTGTAGAGATGGTGTGACCCCCAGCGATTCAGCATCCTACCAAGTCTTGTCCGAGACGTGAGCTGCAATTGTTTCTCTCCAGCGCCGCTGTTTCTCCTTGGCGCTGCAAGCGGGTAGATCCAGGATCCTGAGCAGCAGGAACCGTCCCATGGACAAACTTGTACTGCCCAATCAAACACAGGATTCAGTGAGATTTAAACTGAATTAAGATTATTACATACGTAACGGCCGAAGTCAGAACCGTGCAAAGCAGTGACAAGTCTATGACGAAGAATCCTGCCGCCGTGAAGGCTATTCCGTCGGTAGATATTTGTTGAGAAAAGAGCAAGAGTTGTTCTACTGCTTCGCTGTCCAGATGGCTCTGCACCAGAAATGTCTGAACTCTGTGTGATATATCTCTGGTCACAGAAGCCGCCCTTCCGCAGAGTACAGTCAGAGATATCATGGTTCCTAAGAAAATAAGCATCCACGTTACGCGAGATATGACGAAATCAGCAAAGTTTAAAGTGGTCACTGCTTCTACAGGTTCGCTGAACAGTCTCACAACGGAATAAGAACCTGAAGTTAGTGACGTAACAGTACGAAATATGTCTAGCAATATTGGCAAGCCAAATATGAAATTAAGGATTCTCGTACATTCATATATATGGTTATAAATCCTCCTAAGGCTCAGAATCGTGTGCGTTTCAGTGAAAGGTGTCTCTTTTAGGTCTGTTGTCACTGGGCTATTTAGGATGTCGACACTTGCTACCTGCATTATTCTGGAAGCCACATTGCAGGCCTTCTTGCTACCACTGGGTCCTTCGGGGCTCAGGACACAGGACACGCCAGTTTGTGACAGTCTGTTAGATACGGTTGAGGACAGAACTTCATGCATATCTGACAGTCTGCTTGTAATCATCTGTACCATTTTGCAGTATTGCATTATTGCAGTTAATGTAATTATATGGGCATAGCGTTTCATTATGCAGAACACGAAGCCAACACTTTTACTCCATACGTAGGAATCGTAACACGCAAAGAAAAGGGCGAAAGCCATTATTGGCAAGTACATTTGCACACTTTTCTTGTTCCTCTGGTACTCGCATCTTCCCTGAAAACGACATAAATTTGCATCTATCAATGAGAGTTTTCTCAAAAGCTCTTCTGTCTTGTACCTGTTCACAGTTACAGCCATGATCACCAGAATGAAAGCTCCGATGAAGTTTACAGGAACGGATATAGCGTTACACAGAGTGTCACTGGGATCCTTGAGGAAGGAGAATTCGATTCGAAGTGTGCAATACGCGAAGCCAGCCAACAAGACACTGAATGTTACGCCGCTTGCTGCAAATGCTCCGAAATTGGATGTAAATTTGATATCTATAATTTCTTCGTTTGTCGCCGGATTAATCTTAAGCGAAAATGGTGCCAGACCCATTATCTTAGCCATGTAATAAACAGGCTTAATTTCATGCATGAAGTTAGCAATATGGACACGACTTTCACTCATTTTAATGTTACTTTGAAGGATTTAGTTCACAGTTAAAACAGAACAGGATTATGAGAATTCTTCCTCTGTAAATGTGTGTGTGTGTGCGCGGCGCGATGCTCTCCACTCCACTGTAAGAGTATGTCTCTCTCTGTGTCTTAGTATTCACTGTTCCGCTAATGGCATGTAACACGGAATAAATATTATAAATACATTACTTAAATTAGTAGTGAGCTGGTCGGAATATAGTATCCTATATAAATTACTGTCCCATTAAAAATGTTTGTTTATATCGAATACTAGATACATGTTATTTTATAATAATTTAATGGCTTACATTGCATGAAAAATTCACGGTTCAGTGCAGCAACTGTGCAGAAACACTGATCATTCAACGTATTGCATCACCAACTGAAATGCGTGATGCTGACACTGTAGGCGCAGCCTGTACAACACACATCGCCTTCTGTATGATTAATAAAAGTGTCTGCATGTCGACTTCAGGCTGTATTTATCTTCCGTATTATTACTGTATGGAGCACGCAGTAGCGTAGTTGGTTGAGGTACTATACTACGAACCGGAAGGTCACGGTTTCGATTCATAATGAGGTCATTGGATTTTTCAGTTGACACAATCCTTCCATCCGCACTATGGCCCTGGGGTCGACTCAGCCTCTAATAGAAATGAGTACCAGGACTCTTCCTGGAGGTAAAAGGCGGCCGGCTCGAAAGGCTGACAACCTCACCGCTATCTGTGAGCCGATTGTCTAGAAAATTTAGAGCCTCGATGTCTGACAACCCTATGGGCCTCCACGGCCTGTTACACGGATAGCTTTGCCTTTACTTTTATTCTTATTGTTAGAAAGAAACATGTTTTTCCCAAGAGAGAATTAATCGATTTGACTTTTTTTAATAAGGGCATAATTTGTTTCTGTGAGGTAGGAACGGAATTTTAAGCATTAGCTACGTTAAATTGACGCAATAATAAATCAGTTTGTTAGCTTCCGCTTCGCTCCCACTTTGGAGCATAGAGCTGATTTATCAGTTTCCTAGATCAATTTTACAGACAGTAGGACTCATTGGATGGGTGATCAGTCCGTCGCAGGGCCGCTGCCTACACACAGGACAACACAAACACAGAATAAACGCATACACACACCAAACATCCATGCCTTGTGTGGGTTTCGAACCTATGATCCCAGCTTCTGCGGGAGCGAAGTCAATGTATACCTTAGATGGCTGGGCCACCGTGATCTGCAATGAGTTAATTACATGTTACTTAAATAAGACATTCTCTGTGATTTAAATTGATTTAGGAAATGTTCCTTTTCAAAATAAAGTAGACCTACCTAAAATTTGTGGGGTGTTACTTTCTGTTACAAGAAAATGATATTATTTACAGCAGCGCTTTCGAAAATAGGAGTCGCGAACCCCCAAGGGGACTGACGATCTCATGCGGGGGGCACCGAAAATGTTGATGTTATCATCACGCACATAAACTGGCATCTGAGGGGGCACAGTATCGGAAACGTACAGTACCACAGAAAAATTAATGTGCATTAGTAATTATGTTCTTAAATTGTTTAACTTCCTTGTAAGTATTTTTAATAGTTTTGGTGGGTCCTCGAAGATGTGTAGCCACAAAGATGTGGATCCTGAGATAAATAATATTGGGCACCATTGATTTGCATAATTCCGCGAGACACGGCCCGGCGCACGAGATCTGAGGGTTCGCAGCAGTAAGATCCGCACGGTGTCTAGAACCAGGTGAACACCATCAGTGTTGCAGTTACCATGGAGCGTGCCGAAATCACCAGTTTATGGTAATATAGGCGGCACGTGTATGCAGGTGTTTTGTGAACTTGTTGCATAGCAACGGATTTTCGAACGCCATAACACATAATTCCTCCGTCCTTGAACGTATGTTGTTGTAATGATGTATCGAATTCGTGAAGTAACACAACGGTTCGTATCTTTGGCGCTCGGCAAAAAGGGCGTAAGTAAAAGTTATGAATTTTAACTTATGATAACATCGCTTATTTATTTCGAACGGCCTTCAATAGGTACACGCCTGATACTTAGATCTCAAGCCAGAAATAAAGACTTCACATTTTCATGATGAGTGCCTTAGTTAAGGCATGTCCTTCATAATGAGTTTTACCGAAGTCCTTCATATCGATCACAAAATAAACAGACGAAGAGACTTGTCTGTTGACTTTACAACGGTCTTATACAAGTTTTCTCATACGGAAGAGAGAACTTAATAATTTTGATGGCAATTTATTTATATATTATTTGTGGCTTTCAACATTGACGTCAAACGCTACACAAAGACTTTAGTAATCAAGTTAATATTACGCGGAATTCATCTAGTGTACTTAGATCATACTTGGGATAGATACTCTACAATTATGAATATGTAACTAGGCAGGTCCACATGACTGTGTGTGTGTGTGTGTGTGTGTGTTACGTGCACCGCGACTAGCATTTTGAATACGCCTAACTAACCGATGATTCTCTTCACGAAACCATTTCTGAAGATCCGCATTGGTCATCGGAATATTGCGTATTTAAATACATCATTTTATTAGAATTCTGTGGGATTTAATAAAAATAAAATTGATATAAACATATGCATCTTTACATCAGTATGCGGGAAGTACCATTGTGTAATAATATTTTAAATAAAATTAAACCTGTTTTCTTTTTGTCGAAAATATTTGGTGTATCTCCAGTTAGAATCACGGGTTCAGAAAGTGTAGAAGAATGTGTGGAAATTAAACCCTGCCCAAGAATCACAAGTTATATTTGTCCTGTGATACTGTTCAGTGCGATGCTGTTTGGGCTAGTGCATTCTGTCACAGACTGCATTATGTTAGATGCACACGACGCTGGTCAAATGGTACACAATGTTGTGTGCAACCCAATGACGTATCTATCTGCTTCTGTGTCAATATTCACACACTGGACCACGAACAGGGTTACGATATCAAAACTGCTAGAAGAAATATTCTCTATTAACAAGGCTATAGTTAAGAGGAAGTGGAGTTATCGCAGTGAGGTTAAGAAATTTGATGGATATTCCAGTGTTGTGTTGGTGATGCTGTTTTTCGTTCTCCTCGTGTTTTTGTGTTGCGATATCTTGATAATGGGAGGGACTTACTTTATGTATGCATTTGGTGCGAACTTGCGTCTTGCGCATTTAGTGAATTTCATGATAGTTGCGCAGTTCTGCATGTTTGTTTCCTGTATCAAGTCTGCCTTAAGGGAACTGACGGGAATAATCGCGGAAAATCTGGACGAAAGCGCAGTGTTTTGTAATGTAATGCTTAATTCTGGACAACCTCTCATAAAATGTTCCATTTCAAGAAATATGCCAGCAGCAAATGCTAAATTCAACAACCGTGTTGCTCCGTGTCACATCGGGTTAGGCACCTTGCATCGGAAACGGCGGGAAGCCATTTCGATACATGACATCATATTTTGTAGGCACATTTATAATTGTGTTTACGACACATGCGCCTTGGTCAATTGCATTTACGGGATTCCGGTTTTGCTAGAATTTGTCCGTAATGCGACATTCTCAATAACGGATGTTCATTTTATTTTAAAGAGTTCGTATTTTCCTACGCTGACTTTTTTTTACAAGTTTAAAAGCCTTGCAACTAAATTGTGCTGGCTCTTTATATACATTTCCACTGTATTTTACATGACCGCATCCTGCCATCTTGTTAACTTGGAATCAAATAAGTTAATTGACAAAATTCAGAAGGCCCTGCTGCAACATACACTGCAGAAAGATTCACTTAAACAGCTGAAATTGTTTTCGGATCAGGTATCGAATAATCGCATTGAATTTACCGCCTTCTGGTTCTTCACTGTAGATATGTCCCTGTTTTGTGCGTTCGTGGCATCCACTATAACATACACTATTGTGTTAGTTCAGTTTAATTAACACGTTTCTATGTCTTGTTGTCAGCGAGTTGGTTTGCAGCGGACGCCCATGGGCGCATGTCTGCTGTATACGTGTTCTATATAATAAAACATGGTTAAAATCGACCATGGCCCTTTTTATTAGTGAAAATGAATCGTTGCAAACATTTAAGAGCATACCAGAACATTGCAACAGTAAGGGTTTGTGAGAGGTGTCTGTGGTTCTGTCGATATTGCAGCCTCTACATTTGAGAGGACGTTAGGTGGAGTCGTGGTTTGGGAGTACCTCTGAGAGGCCGCAATTTATAATAATCAGGAGAAGGGCTGAATTTGAAGTCCTCACGGCGACGAAGACTCTGGAGAGCAATATCTGCTGAGGTACGGTGCCTTGAAGTCCATCGACGTTTCGGAGGTTCTCTCTAGGTTACCTCCTGCATAATATAAGATGCTGCTAGTTTGGTCTGCGTAACGGCTCCTTGCTAGTTGCTGCCTACAGTACAGTCTTCCGAAACGTCGGTGGACTTCTGTTGGGCTACACAGAGAGATAGTTTTTTTTTAAATAAAAGAGTCTTCTGTGTGAAAACCCTGGTCAGAGACTGGAAGTGCAAAATTGTCACCTTTTAATTTTAAGCGGGCAATTGGTAGGAAGTTACCGAACAAAAATACATTTACGAATATAATTTATCCATAATTATTACATTAGATCACAATAGTTATGTAACATGCAGTAATGATTAAATGTATCTGTTTTGTGTTGTTATATTATTATATATTGAATGCAATATATGACACTTTTTCTGTAGTAACACTTGTGTTTGAGTATTGTTTGTATTTATACATGAATATATAATGATGCATATTTAAGTCTGTTTCTGTCAGACTGTCTTTAGTGTGATTTGAATTTAAATAAAGCACATTCAAATCCACGCGACTGTGATAAGAAACGTATATAATAATTGAATTTTCTTTCTCCACTGAATATCGTCGTATTTTGCAGGAATCTATGTTCCATTTCCTCACAACAGCAAGTCAACAGTGGCAACGCGGAGGCCTCTATGTTTAAAAGTAAACAAACATTGTGCCCCATACTTTTGTTCCGAAACAATCCTACAGCTCACCTTGAAATTATTTTGTCATCTTATATATTATTAATTACAAGACTATAATTCCCATCCCCTGTTTGTGTCTTTGTAACGCACAGGTTCCAGTTCCGCAAGAGTTGCAAATAATTTCTCTGCAACGGTGCTAACTTTGTTCTCTTATCGGAGAAGTAAAGAGGAGAGGAACGTGACTGAGGATTGGAGCCATTTGGACACAGATAAACGCGCGTAATGAAACTATAGACATCAGCTCTGCGAAGTGTGAACTGGGCTGAGCTGGAACTGGACGGAACCCACTCATATGATGTTAATAAATTAATTTCTTATTACTATAGGATTCGGACGATGGTGTATAACACACAGAGATATTGGGTTTTCGGACTTTAACCATCGTCCTGGTTTTTAAGATAACTAAGAAAAAACAGGACGTTTCGGAAACTGGATCTGTTTCCGTCCTCAGGTGAGGGAAAACACCTATTCTGTTGGGTCCCTTAGAAAGAGCTAGCCTCAATCGCTGGACCTAGAATAGGTGTTTTCCCTCACATGAGGACGGAAACACATCCAGTTTCCGAAACGTCGTGTTTTTTCTTAGTTATCTTCGTCCAGCGATTAAGGCTAGCTCTTTCTAAGGGACCCAACAGAATAGGCGTTTCCCTCAACAGAGGACGGAAAAAGATCCAGTTTCCGAAACGTCGTGTTTTTCTTAGTTATCTTAAAACCAGGAAGCTGGATAAATCCGAAAACCCAATCTCTCTGTAATTTATAATTCTTTTAAATTTAGTGTTATGTGACTTACAAAAATAACCACAGATATTTTATTTATGCAGTGAAATTTGAATAAGTTTTCATGACGTTTCTTCTTCCTGGTTTATGAAACAAATTGAACTCCCAATATGTCGGATCCATGAATATACTTTTTTAAGATTGTTAATTATCACATGGCTACTATTTTTAATTTATAAAGATCAGAGTCTTCATGTGATTAATTAAACACCATGTCATAAATAAGTATGGGGGAGTGGAGGTATAGTTCTGCCTACTTCCTTCCTAATATTAGTCATTTGCTTGTGATGCTTTTCAACCCTGAAGATAGAGATGCCATATTCCATTGTAAAGTCGGCGAATTTCTGTGGGACTACACGGCGTCAAGTGGCATATTCTTTTCTTTTTTTACTTTTATATTGAAGACGTGTGTTACTTCATAATTCGTTTTACTGAATTCGAAATTTAATATTTTAAATTGTTTCACTACACAAACAAAAATATTTGACTTATCCATTCACATGGAGATGTGGAAGTTTAGATTTTTGTTAAAGTCATCGATAAATTGGCATCCTTCAGTGAACATGCATGACAGCAGAAGTGAGAAGCGTAGTTATGCGTTGAATTTTAAAGAAGATTGCTCATAAACCACTCTCTTGAGGAGTTGAATTCTCAGTAATTCTGACATCTCTTCAGCTGTATGCCAAGTGAAGATATCTGTCGAGAAATTTGGGAAATAATACAGAAATGAGAAGAAGCTTACATGGTTTTGATATTCGCTTAACACTGTTGATTTCTGTAAGATCTGAGGCTTTCACAACTGTGATTATGAAGAATGTCGTCTTCTGGGATGTGGCGCCGTGTAGATCTTGTGTGAATCGACGTTTCGGAGGAACGTATCTCCTCCGTCTTCAGGATAGAAAAATCCACCAACGAGAAACCAACTTGAGCTGGTGGCTGCAGACTGAGTCACCAGTCGAAAACACCCAACATATAATAACAGGGATGGAGGGAGGGAAAGGGGGCCACATGGGAAATCAATAGAGATGGGAGGGGGTAGGATCTAGAAATGGGCAAGCAGGTAGAAGAAGGTGGGCCATAGTAGGTATAGGATCGTTGTTGGGGGGGGGGCGCCAGGGCTACCTAGCGAGCATTGGCCTAATAGCTTCGGAGTTTCGGGGCTAAACTGCCGAACCTGCATTGACCTACATAGCATTGTAGATCTGTCATCATGTTCAGGAGGTTTCTTGAGGGAGCAGATGAGAGGCTTCCATGACTTGCTGAGACAAAAACTCACCTTTCTCTTCATGTTGTTGGGATGGAGCTCGATCTCAATGGGCTCTTTAACGATACGATCCATGTATTGGGTATTAGAGGCGAGGATGGAGGTATTGTAAAATTGAATGCGGTGTCCCAAGTCGACGATGTGTTCAGCCCCGGCTGACTTCTCTGAATGTTCAAATTTTCGTTATATAGCACCGACACGGACCTCAGAGGAAACGTCTCTTCAATTATTGTGTGTTCTCTCGTTGCCGTAGAAACAGTGTGTCCACAGAACTGTTCCATATCAATTGCTGTTTTACTGACGGCAGTTTATAAAAGTGTTACTTGGCAATGGGTCTGCACGTCAGAATATATTTCCATATATTATTTTGTAGCCTGGAGGAGGACGATGATGTAGGTTGTAACTGTGCTCACTAAACTTGTCACGAGCTTGAAGTCGATGCTGAGAAACCCACAAGCCGTGAATTCTATTCTGTTGTTTGAAAGTTGAATCGAAAATAATTCCAGCTGATCCTGTATTTCAGGCTTCAAACCAGAAGGTAAAGTCAGTTTCCGAATTTTACTGATCGTCTCCTTGAACTCACTGTTGGCCTTGCAACTCGCGGACACGCTAGACAACACTTTTATGCAGCTCGAAAGTATCCACAGTAGAGCCGTCACAACTCTTGGCTTCGAATGCTGTTGATCTCCCTTGAACTGTGCAATCAGCATGCAACACACGTTATATACGTCCAGAATGAGACACATTGTGTATGTCATGAAGCCCATCAGCAGTGTGGGCCCATACATTGAATTAATCAAACGACATACGTGGTACAAATTTTTGTAACAAATTCTGAAATCCATGATCCGCCCTGAAACTCCAGAAGCGAGACCGGAAGTGTTTGAACGGAAGTCGGTTGGTCCTCTTGAGTTCAAAAAAACACGGCGACTTGTAGTATGGAATCCCTTCTTTAAATCCAAGAAACAAAATTCTTCTTTGCTGCAGGTTCGTAGTCTCTTCCATGTGGAGTTACTATGGGGCTGAGAGACGAAAATCCTATCAATTTCTTTATTCAACATTATCAGTCTTTGCGTAAGGATTTCCACAATGTTTACATATTGCAAGTCATTTACAGCCCATGTAAAGTCACACAGATATATCGAAACGCCGTAGTAACAGTTGAAGTTGCCTCTCGGTTTGGTGTACATGTTAACAGTGTGCAGCACGAGGTGATATGCTACAGTAATCATCATTATGATAAAGAATTTTATATTATGCTTCTTGGTTACAGTTTCCTTGTTTTGGAAAATACACTCGTCCACAATCGATAACTTTTCTGCTACCTTCATGATTTTCTTCCGGTTAATGGAGACTGATAGAGCAAGTGCCACCAAACCGGTAGCACAAATTAGTGGGAATTGTAATATTTTAGCCACGAAATAAGAAAGCGAATCTGGATTTTGGGTGAAGTTTGATACAATGACATATACTAACCCCAGAAATTCTACAGTTAGCAGTGACAGTGACCAAGTAACAATTTTAACGTTTCTGCACCAGGATATTTCTATTTTTTCACCTTTGTTCTGTTGATCTGTGACGAAGGCGTACGGCGCAAGCCCAACCAATCGTGATAAAGAATGCACAGCCTTAAACGCGTCCCTCACGCTTGTTCTCGAATCCTGTTTCTTCCGCATACTTGAAAATAACAACGATTTTAATGGAATGTTGTAATTGCTTGAAGTGACTTCCTTGCTGGTAGTCGTGTTCTGGTGAAGCAGACTAAACTCTTTCCCTCCACCTAAGCGTAGCGCTGCTTTCCCCTGCCCGTGTCGTGAGTAATGATGGCACATAAATCTTGGAGCTGCCAGCGAGCAGACTTGAATGCACGACTTGTGGAGTACATTCAGATTGAAATGAACTGTCGTTGTCATTCAGAGCAACTTTAAGGGTATATACGAGTTACAGTGTTAGACAAAAGTAGTTTAAATTCCAATTTAACTAATAGCTGCACTTTGCATATCTTAAATAAATCCAGCACTGATGTAAATAATAAGATTTTAAATTTTAATGTGGGAGTATACTTTTTATTTTATCACTTTTTTTTTGGCTACATTTATCACTTATGCCACTCATGATATTAACATTTTTGAGACTCAGTACTCTCTGAATCGAACCTGACAAAAATAGTTGAAAGTAAATTAAATTATTTTTTATGAAAATAAGTAAATCACATGTTAATATAAATAATATTGTTGTTATTTATTATATTTATGAGAATTATGAATTTAATTTTATTCACTTCGATTACTGAAACACTGTTTGAGAAGAATGAAACTTGACAACACTGTAGCATACCATGAGCTGGCTGCCTTGCACATGAGCGGACCAACGCCACAGCTGAAGCTTCAGATGACGCGCTGTACAGTTGTAGGTTAATCGTAGCTACATTTCTCTTTGTTACACTGTTACATTGAACGAATGTCTACTGATATGTTATACGTCGTGTCATGTACGCGTACTCCATTGTGGGCAGGTATCACGTATGTTTACACAATAATAACGTACGATTGACCTGAATAACATGACATTTAATATAATTTTTCATTATTTGTGCTCTGGTTTTATTGCCGTATATTGAGTCAACCATCAACATCAAGATCTATTGTAGTCGCATTTGCTGTAGAGAGATTATTCATGTCACGAGAATTCGTAGCTTTCTCTACATGTAAAGGAGTACTGTAAGCGTCAAGTTTATCGTCGTCATTACGAAATTTCGGGTCACCATAGCAAATAATTGTCTAGCGCTAACACGTTTCGTGATTGCAAGTTATATACTCGTAATAGGCCACGAACGAGTGATAATCTTATATTTTTAAATCGATGTGATAAGAGAGGTTATGATTGACGATTTTTGCGCGTTATTCGTGGGAGATGGCTTGAAACATCGGCCTCGACGAATCATTCGATAACAAATAGGACTGGAAAGGAATGCAGAAGAAGTTAACGTAACCAATGAGGAGATTTCCAGTTGAATTCTCAACGAGTGTCACACAAGTTCCCTGGAAGACATTTCTTGGCCTTCCTGTGCTGGTTCGAAGGAAGAACTTGCAGTAGGATATTTGGACTTCGTGCTTCACAGAAGTATGAAGGTACTTGTCAGAATAATGCCTTATTGTCTGTAAGGAACTTCTGAAGCGCAGTGCCTACTCTGCAGCCCTGTGAGTGACGTCGAGTGTGTCTTCTTACGAATCCGACAGCGCAGTTTTCTTGCTCTCCAAGTTCCTCTCTGAATTTGAAGAAAGTGAATCCTCTCTTTCTGCTGAAATCTGCGACAAAAGGACATATGAATATAGACTTGAGCACAGTTGCTATAGTAACCGGCTGTGGGTTTAGCAAGGGAATCCTGAGAGTGTTCCCCTCCATGTAATTGAAGTTTAGGAATATAATGACAGGATGTGCAAGAGAAGAGATGTTATGACGAATATTAAGAATGCATTTAATCCTGTACACAGTGTAGCCCAGTTGGTTGGACTGGCGCCATATTCTTTTGTAAGAAAGTCTGTGAATTCTGACGAAAGCGTCGACATTTCTTGGAATTCGAATTGTAAAAGATGTATTTGGGCCGTAGCGCTATTCACAGTTCATATTGCAGGTATTGTATATAGAATAGTTCTAAATTTCGCGAATCCGCCAACTTCACTTTCGGACTTGTTGGTGAATGTCATACATTTTCCACTAATCCAGGCTACGGGTCTTCTGTCCGTATTTTTCGCGTTCAGTAGAAAGCGTACCGAAATGAGACGGATCGTCAGGATGTTGTCGAGAGTCGATAAGTTTCTGTTCGAGCCGAACTCCAAGGACTACAGGCAAAGGACCAGGTTTCTTGGAGTGGCTGTAATTTGCTCTCTCTTCTACTCATTTCCGCTGTACTTTGCGGAATGCTGGGTGGGGGATGACGTATTCGCTGGAGTGGTCGTTGCGTTGGCCCACGTGACGTGGCAGATTAATGACCTGCAGTATTTAAATCTTGTAATGATACTGAAACATAGACTGAAGGCAATGAATGAGAAGTTTATATCTGTTTCCATTATGGATTATTTTAGCAATGGGGATTTGAAAATACCGACGAAACCTATTATCCGGTATAGCAATCGTGTTTCAGAAATTACGTCGAACCACGTGACTGGAGCCCGAATTGCTTTCACGCCGAGAAGCTTCGAGACAGTCATGGCTCCAGAGATCTCCAGTCGCAATAAATTTGGATTTGCCAGTGTAATCCTTACATTCAGAGAACATTATAGTTCAGTATATGAAATATGTTGTTTAGTTAACTCTGTTAATGGATGTACACTGTTACTGAGCTGGTTACTGTTCATTGTAAGTGTTAGTATAAATCTGTATCATGTGGCTGTTTTATTCATGTTTCCTAGTGCATCGGATAACACGCCACATTCTACCATCAAGAATATCACATTCATTCTATGGAATGTATTAACACTGATGAGAATATTTGTCGTCGCTCTCTCGTGCCAGTGGGCCAGCGATGAATGTCAGAGATGCATGAACAGTGTTCAGGAGATGCTACTTGAGCACTGTACAGAGGAAGATGCATTAACTCAGCTGGAGTCCTTTTCTGTTCAGCTTGTGAATAATAAAATAGAATTCACTGTCTGCGGTACATTCCCCATGAACTTGTCTGTACTGTGTACAGTTGCTGGTCTGGTGATTCAGTATCTCATACTCCTCTTTCAAATGAGGGAACAGACCGAACCACAACGGGTGAGTTTTGATGTGACGAGCGGTGTATAGAATTCTGGGGTTTCGGACTTTGTCCATCATCCGGTTTTCTAAAAACTATAGAATATAATGAATAAAGCAGTCTTCTGGGATGTGGCACCGTGTAGATGTGGTGTTAACCGACGTTTCGGAGGAACGTAATGCCTCCATCTTCAGGGTAGAAGGACAAATAAGAAATCCGCAAGTGAAGAGACCTTGAGAACCGGTACCGGTTCCTCCGAAACGTCGGTTAACACCACATCTACACGGTGCCACATCCCAGAAGACTGCTTTCTTCATAGTCACCGCCGTGAAAACCTCAAATCTTACAAAGAATATAATGTTTCGGAAACCGGGTCTATTTCCGTCCTGAGGCGAGTGAGGAGACATCTACTTTATTGGGTCTCTTAGAACAGGTAACCTCAATCACTGGACAACCCATGTCAGTGTAACTACGGCTATGTACAAACCACAAACATAATAAATTTTGAGATATTTTTGAAAAATGTAATGTGCCAGAAATACGGGGACTTAAAACCAGAAACGATGAATACAAATGCAGTCTTAATTGTTAAAATTATAACCATTATTAAGTAAACTTATAGGAGATATATACAAATTAGGTCCTATATATAAGGCAGGATTGTATATATGTAAAATGTATAATATAATTATTAATAATGTGACTATAAATTAATAACGGTGAGTATAGTACCAAGGCTGTGGGCTCAACGACCAAGGAATCCATTTCAAATACCGACAGCGCTAAGAGACTTTGCTCTTGTCCTTGTTTCGAAAACTGGCTCCGGGCCCACAGAGCCTCATGTCCAGAGGATAACGGAGCCATTCTCGGGGGTGGGAGGGTGTCCGGTGCGTGAAACTGACCACTCACCTCCACGTGGTGTGGAGGTTAAATGTATGTGGAGCTATATTTCCAATTCCCACTACTTTTAATGCCTTGGATAAGTTTCAAGCTCATATAAATAAATTAAGAATTATTAATGTACAGCTTCTGTTATTCTCACGACATATGAGTAACTTCAAGAAAATAAATATTATAGCCCATTCCTTTTCAGCCCTTGCACTGTCGTCAGGTCCACTTTGTGTGCTGATTTACTTCACTGTGTGTTTACAATGCCTGTCATGGCCGCTGAGGACTGGAGACTTGGAAACTGTGCCCTATGCCTCGTTTTGCGTCTGTTTGGTTTGCGGTGAGTCAGGATGTGGAATGTGAGTCGTGATCCCATGTGCGGCTGTATTACTTGCGGTATTGGGGGACTTACATGCCGAAGAGACTGTAGAGAAATTCAGTGCAATGCAGTCAGAATATTTTGTATTGTTCTGATGCACTTATAAAGCAAGCAGTTTAGGATTTTTGAAGTTCTTAGCAGAATCAAATTAATTTAATATTGCTCGTGTTTGAAATGTACAGGGTACTATAAATTATTCATTCGTTTTTAAAACGCTATATTTTCCAAAATACTGCACGTATAAATAAACTTCATATACAAAAAGAACCGTAAACTCACCAAGTCTGTACTGGAACATCAGATTCTTCGCTACCTAAACAATGAACTTCGGCATCGCTGGATTGGGCGTGCGCCTTGTGACTGCTTCCTTTGGGGGTACATTAAGGATCGTATTTACGTACCCCCACTGCCAAGAACGTAGAGCTGAGGGAAGGCATCGATGCTGCAGTGATGAGCATTGACAGGACGATGCTACAAAATGTGTGGAACGAGCTCGACTACTGCCTGGACGTGTGTCGTGTGACCCAATGGGCACATATAGAACATTTGTAGAGTATGAAGAGAACTTAGTGAGTTTAAGGTTCTGTTTTATATATCAATCATATTTGTACGTATAATGCTTTGGAAAATATAGCGTTTTAAACACGAATGAATCTTTTATAGTAGCCCTGTATATTGCTGCGTGGCAACCAACGCGCTTCGGCTCGGCTCGGCTCGGCTCGGCTCACTTCGGCTCTACTCGGCACGGCACTGAGAAACACCGCTTTCCTTACTGTTACGCAACCTCGTTTTCACTGTTGCGTAACTTGGCAACCGACTGTTTATCAAGGGTTTGTCTTCGTGGTAACTCGTTCCACCTCCCGTTGCGCAGCAACGGTTAGACATGTCACAATATTACTACGGGT